GTAGTGCAATTCACCAAAAAGCTCCTGCTGCTCCTTGAGAATCGTTGATGTCATCTCCTCGTACTCCACGTCCTGGTCAACGGCAAACTTGTCTGGGTTGGTGAACTGCGGCAAGAAGTTCTTCTTTAAGTACCCCTCGAGCTCCTCCTCCTCGGAGCACTGCACCGTGCAAAGATACCCGCGTTGGTTGATGATCGTCCCGATCGCATACACCATGTCCTTAATGAGCTTTGACTTCACGGAGACATGGTAGCGGAACTGGAAGCTGCGGCGACCGCCAAGCCGATGCGGACAACGAAGTTTGCCGCCCACCCGCAGGTGCAACAAGTCAGTGGAGCCATCAACAGAAACGACGTGTGGGTCGGAGAGGACATGCTGTACACTCCGGATGCAGTACGCCGCCAACGTCATGTCTGGGGGAATGTGCGAGTACATGATGGAGACACGCTTTGGTATCTCCGTCCAGAGCTCGTTTTTCGGTTTCATGACGGCACTGAGGTCCGTGTAGCGCAGCGCCGGCATCATGGGGCAGTGCTTCACATCGCGGTCAAGACGATTGAGCTGCTCAAAGTCACGTGGATCAATAAATGTACTCTCCCACTGCGGCGAGAGCTGCATGACAACACGCGCGGCCTGGTGGACAAAAGTAAGGGAAAAATTCCACTCACGGCGCATCCCAACCACCGTTTCCCGCCGCCCCGGCACTTCATGCGTTTCCGACACAGAGAGCGACATCACTGCAAGCACGCCGATGTCGACCGAAAGATAGAGAGAGGGAGGAAGAAAGAGAAAGAGTGGATGTATGTTTGTCTCTGGCCTGGACACGTGTATGCACCACCGGCACAAGAAGACAGCAGTAGAAAACAAAACGACTCACACTCACACACACAGAGAGATATGGAAAAAAATTAAAAAAAAATGAAATAAAGAAAAGGGGACTGCAACAACACGATACAAAGGGAATTACAAGAAAAAAAAAAAAAACATGGAGAAGTAACCGTCTGTGCGCCAGAAACATCAAACTTCACCCGCGCAACACAAAATGTGGTACCAACGTAGCCACCCTCCCATATGAAATAAATCGCCATGGAACTCGACGTGACGGGTTGGAGTTAAAGGCCCTCATAGAAATCGTAAAAAAAAAAAAAAAACGCACGTCTTCTCGCGCGCATGCACCACATGCATATATACGCCGTCGTCACGGCCAGGGCCCGTCGGAGTAACAACGGCGCGCCACCGCTCCGCTCACGCAACGCCTTCCCGCTCTGGACGTGACGCTTATCGCCCATTTTCTATTCCCGTAGTGAACATCCCCCTCCATCACTCACCACCTGTGGACGGGTGTATGTGCATTTGTGAGCATCCCTTTCTTTCATGCACGGCCTGAGAGTTGAGAAAAAACCAAAGAGTTTTGTAAAAAAAAAAACATTTTTTTTTTTTTTTAAGTTGGTGGAGTGTCGTTGTTTGTTTGCTTGTTTCCCCGTCCCCAATATCACCAACCCTCTCATATCTTCCATCAAGCGTAAGAGGGTTTTAGATAAGATGGCTCTTTTGCTGCTCCCTCCCCACCCCTTCAAGCAAAACTCAACTTGATTATGTTGTTAAACAATTCTACTCCGCAAGAGAGTGCAGCGTGGCTGCTTGAAGAGGCACCATGCACCGTTGTGCCACCAATGTGACAATACTTGTCATGACAAATACCAGATCGTTCAGATGGCAATACATGTCGCTTCTCGGTAACTGCTCCTCAAGTACTGTGGACAGAGCACTCTCACTCTCCACCGTCGGAGAAAGACGTAGCAGTAAAAGCTGTCCCACAAAGTAAACACCCATTCCTACCGTTAGACCCAGCACAGTCGTATCCACGCTCAGAAATGTCGTGTACGTCGTTACCAGCCGAAAGACTGTCAGCAGTAAACCACGGACGGAGTTCACAATCATCCATGCGTTAAGGAACACAGAGACCCACACGATGCGCTGATCGCTCTCCCCACCAGTTGGGGTCGCAAGGCCGTACGTTTCAAAAAGCCGCACCACCCGAGTTGCCGTATCCTCCGAAAGCGGGGGTGCGGAAGAAACAGGGAAAACAAACCACCGCAGGTTGATGGTGGTGAAGAGAAGCTTCAAAAAGGCGTGTAGAAGCAACACGACGCCAAGCAGTGCGTTCACCCATCCACGCCATGTAGCCCCACTCTCCGCTGAGCGCACCAACGAGTCCATCTCACTCATCTGCAGGAAAACAGCCATGCTAACGGCCTGTATGCCGTCATTTTCCGCCCTCAATCTAACAATGTCGTCGCCCTTCTCGACAAGAGCCCTTCCGCGGACGGATTTCGCCATCCAACTCCACACACGTCCCCCCGAGTCCGCGCTGGAAGTCAATGGCGCTCCACCACGCCATGTCTCCGCGATTTGGCACTGCTTCTTCACCCACAACAAAAGCAAATGGCGCTGTCGCTTCGCCAACACGCCCAGCGCCGCCCGTGCCCTCTCCCCGCTGTCTTTTACCACAAGCGGCCGAAGGAACGCGGCAGGCGTTGTCACGGCAGCATAACCGGAGAGGACACCCACAGCAAGAACGCCCATCAAGGCAGTCCCCGTGGTGACCGCATTCCACACCGTCATTGCCGAATCCCACGGAAGACTAAATCTTGACAGTCGGCGGATCCACTCAACCAAAAGCACCCGGTCCCTGCAAATGAGAACAAAGAGGCCGCAGCAAATTAGCAACAAATAACCGCGACGGAAGTGCAGGTTGTGCAGCAACAAGCAGGCAATGCAGAAGGGACACAGCACCGAGATGACGGCAAGATCGGCCACAAGAGCGAGGCGAAGTGCCTGGGTGCTAAAACTCACGGAGAAGATAAGAACTCCGAGTTTTGAAGCGTCCAGCAGCACAAGGCTAAAAATCAGTGTCGAGAGAGCAAAGATGACAACAAAACAAAAGTGTGTGGTACGCCGCTCAATGGTATACACAAACACCAGACGACCAAAAAGAATGCCGAGGTAACACAGTAATATAAACAGCAATAGGGCAAAAAATGCCTCTAATACTGCCATCGTCCTCTGAACCACTTGTAGAAGCCTTTATTATCCCTCTTTGCCTTTTGTCAATGTGGCATATGCACATATCAGTAAGGGAACAGAGCCGCACACGCACACATATATATATATATATTTATTTATTTATTTATATGTATGTATATATGCAACAACAACAAAAAAAGAGGAGACACAGGCATTATATACACGTATATATATATATATATATATATGTACTGATATTTAGAAGGAAACAAATTGCTGTGGGAAAAAAGTCATGTGAAATCTTCAACTTCGGTTTTGCCAATTGGGAGAGAGTGACGACAGACAAACCCCTCTCCCTCCCTCAGCAAAAAAAAAAAGAAAGAAATCACCCACCTCTCACTAAAAATGATGCCCGTGCCTTTTTGCCGCTGTCATCATCAAAACGCCCATCATTCCTTCTCTCCCACCGCATAAGACTCGTGGACGACTTCAGCGGCATGATTTTCTCTCCACCACTGCCTCCACGGTGTGTCGAAACGCATCCCGGTCATCTGTGTTCAACAAAGAAAAAGGAAGCGGCCCACCGCCATCGCTTTTGCCTCTCTCGTCAGAGCTGCCAATGTCAGACCCCAGGACAGGGTGTTCCGTTTCACCGTCAGCTGCTGCGGTCTCTGTCATCAAGTCGCCGTTTCCAGAGGCATCGTCGTAGGGTGGGGAGAAGGGGGCGAAGGTCCCGTCGCCTCCATGGACGGCAGCGTCGTATTCCGTCGCATCGCCGCGGCATCATTCACCCTTCCACCCCTTCGCTGATGCCGTATCTGCATACTGTCAACAAGGGAGTGTGCATTCTCTGCGTAATAGGCAGTTGATCTTTCTTTACCTCCATCAACGTCTATCCAGCCAAGCGCCGTGCGGAATACGATGGATGCCGTGAAAATCATAGCCGCAACAAAATAAATGGCGAAAAACAACAGTGCCACATCAAAACAAAAAAAGAAGAAATGGCGTAACACGACGCGCTCTGGAACTCCCCACAAGATAGAGTCAGCGGTGGGTGGAAGAACCATGTACTTTGTTTTCACTGCTGTATCGGTAAATCGCAGTCGTGCCCTCACGCGGTAAAAAGTGTAGAGAGCCTCGTAGTAGCCGTGGAATGCGTCAATGATAAGGTGTTGCAGCCACAGATTATTGGATGACACCAGTGGCCAGTCGATGGAGGCCCTGTCGTCCAGAGACAACAACTCGCTGGCGGACCGCAGTGCCAGTCCCCACACACGCCACTGTCCGGGGAGCTGCACGCTTGGAAAAGCCAAGTGAGCATGTGAGAAAACTTCCGCCAGCAGGAGTCTCGCGTCCGCATTGGATGCGTGCACAAAACAGCCTATTGGGTGGCAGAGCGATCCCCCATCGACATGCTCCACCGTCAAGGCATTTATGGGCACCCACTGCACAGCATCTACTTCATGACGAGCGAAACGCACCGTTGGTGTCATGTCCCCAGTGTGCAGAAAGACAAATCGGGACTGCACGGCCCTCACCGCCTGAACGTGGCGACTGCGGATGGGATAGTCGCGGAGACGCCCCAGGAGAATAAACTCCTTGGAGTGCAGTGGCATTCCAAGCATTTGGCCCACCTCCCGCTGAACAGCACGCAAGTCACTCGTGTCGCCAGCATCGCGTCGGCCCCCGGGAAAAGTCACGTTGCCGCTCCACCGGTCGGCCGCCAAATCCGCCCGTCGGACAAACAGCATGCAAAGCGAGGATGGCACCGCCGTATTGGCGGCACTCGTGAGGGGCTGCAGCAGCTGCAGGGAAGAAAGGCCGGCGTCGCGACACGCGAGCAGGCGGTGGGCAGCGCGCTGCTGCTCCGCATCACCGAACCGCAGGACGATGGCGATGGCGGAGCGGCGGGCGCCGGGCACATAAACATGAAGATGGCGCTCCCCCATGCGCTGCGCAATGCTCAGAAGGAACTTGACATCCGCCGCGGGCAGCGCCATCGTCCCCTCTCTTTTGAACGGAAAAAAAAAAAAAAAAAAAAAAAAAAAGAAGAAATCATCAACGGCTTCCATTACAAATAAAAAGAAAGAGAGAGCAGCAAAAACAGGCCTACAAAAAAAAAAAAAAAAAAAAAAAAAGATAAAGTACTGAGGCGGTAGCACTTTTTTTGTGTACGTGCGTGCTTGCATGCGAGTGTGTTTTTTTCTGCGAGTGTAGAGGAGTCTAATAATTTGACGCCGCCTCCCACCACACCGAGCTCACACATACACCCTACACGCACCCTCTCTCATTCTCTCTCTCTTGTTTTTCTATCCTTTTGTTTTGTTTCTTTTCTTCACCTTTCCACTTACTCTCCTTCCATGCTTCTACGCTTCGTTGGGCATGTTTTACCATGCCGCAAATCACAGATGAACTTTTACCAATTAATAGTTAAAATACCGCTTTTTTTTTTCTTTTCTTTTCTTTTCTTTTCTTTTCTTTTCTTTTACAAAAAAAAAAAAATTTGTTCTCTTTTTTCTTTCTTTTTGCCGATGTTTTTCTTTTTTTTTTTTTTTTTGTTTTTGTTTTTGTCTCTCTCCTTTTAATTCTTCCGCTTTGTTTATTATATTTATTTATACATGCATGCGTACATATTTTTATTTATTTATTTATTTTTATTTACTTTATTTTATTTTATATGTCCCTTTTTTTGTTTGTTTCTTTTTCCCCTTTTCCCTTTCGCCATACTTGTTTTTATGCACACATGCCTCTTTTCTCTGCTTCTTTCTTTCTTTCCTTCTTAGTCTCCCTCTCTTTTAATGGTCCACACATTCCCTTCTTCTCGCCATCCCTCATCCCCCGCCTCCTCACGTCCACGCACACACATGCTGACCCACTGGCACAGAAACGGACAGAAAAAAAAAAAAAAAAGAGGGGGAAAGACGGAAGTGAAACGTTCCGCACACATATGTGTTGGTTCCTACATAAAGGCGACAGGAACGTGACGCCCTCGACTGCGTTCTAACAGGGAAATTGGATGTAAACAGGGGGGGAAGAAAGAAGGAAGGGGGAAAAGAAAAAAAAAAAAAAAAAAAGTGAATTCTTCTTCGCCTCTCACAACGCTCTCACCCTCCTTTTCATTAAGACCGCAATTCACCACCAACACCCATAAATTCTCTTTACAGAATAAAGGAAGAACCGCTCTGCTTGTGGTGTGAGCATAAGAATAGGAAGAAATAAATAAACAAAGAGAGAGAGAGAGAGAGAGAGAGAAAGGAAGAGAAAGCAAAAGCTGTGTGGTGGCGTCTCTTTCCTTAACCGCTGTTGTATTTATTTGTTTTTTTTTTTTTTCTTCTTCCTCTTCTTTTGTTGTCGTTCTTGCCGTGTGTGGGTCAAAGAGGGAAGAATGAAAAAAAAAAAAAAAAGGAGTCAGTTTCACTACTAGACGCTTGCCCATGGATGAGATTAAGAAGAAGAAGAAAAAGAAGAGGGGGAAAAAAAAGACACGGCACATTGGAAAAAGCACATCAAAGCAGAAAGAGACAGAGAACCCAAAGGATGGCAGAAGATGGAGATGACCAAAAAAGCCATGCCAGACGACCGTCGCTCCAGTTTGTTGTGGCTGCTTCTTCCCATCCAACTTCGTGCTCCGCTGGCTTTTAATCCTCCCTCCTTTTGTTTGTTTGTTTTTAACCGCAGGATTTGTCACTCTTTTCATCGGCACTCCCTCTCTCTCTTCCTCTCTCCCTCTATATATATATTCCTCCCCGTCATTGGGCCAAATGAAAGAACTTCGTCCGCTCAGCGGCGCTCGTGGCTGTCGTGACGGCGGTGGTAGTTGTCGTCCGAGTCGCGGTACCGCTGGCGGCTATCGGAGGGGGAGTGGCGGCGATATTTCTCGCGGCTGTTGGATCTCCGCCTTTCAGGGGACAATCGCGCCCGTTTTTCGCCTGCAAGAGACGTGGGGCCCTGACTCCACTGCGGCGCAGCAGACGGCATCGACATCGGCACACGCGGCGGCGGGGGCGGCGGCGGCGGTGGTGGAACACCGTACATGCCACCACCACCACCACCACCACCACCCACCCCGGCAGGCAGGCGCGGTGCCGCGGGATACCCGCCAGCGTGCAGCAACGGGGCAGACGGCACGGGTACCGCCACGGCAGAGCCGTACGGCGCATACAGCCGTGCGTCGTAACCGCCACGGTAACCCCCTCCGCCTCCTCCCATGCGATAGCCGCCACCCCCACCTCTGCGATAACCGCCACCACCACCACCACCGCCTCCGCGGTAACCGCCACCACCACCGCCTCGGCCCATCATTTCGTACAGCTCTGGTGGAACCTCCTGATTCGCTCGGCGCAAGAGATCAACCAAGTCGCGAATTGTCTTCGATGGATCAGCGCCGCTTACGAAGGAGTACGCATCGCCTCGTTGTCCGGCACGTCCAGTACGTCCTGTCCAAAAAGATACAATGTCACGCAGTCAAAAGGAAGCACAGAAAAGGGGGAAAAAAAAAGAAAAAAAAAACAGGTTTTTCAGATCTGGCGTCAATCAGAAAAAAAAAAAAAAAATTATCCGGTCGGCGTTGGCGGAAGCATCCTGAGCGTTGTGCACTAAACTCTGGTCAGTGGGGTCGTGATGTATGTGCGTGTGCGCATCTCCCTCTCTGTGTAGGTATATTTGTGTGTGTGTGTGTGTGTGTTTGTCTGCGTGCATGCATGTCAAACGCAAGAAAAGAACGGGAAGAACAGCAGAGGCCGAGTACGCGGGGACAGCAGAAAATTCCCCTCGACTTTCAACGCCTCGCCGCTGCCTTCACGTCCCATACCGCATCCCCTCCTGTCATGCCTGCTCGGTCTGTTTACCCCACACTCGCTGCATCACAGTACCCCGCCCGCAAATTTCCTCGACTTTTGTTTTCTTTTCAGCCTCCCGTCCTTGTGGTGAAGAAGCGCCGCGGCACCTCAACCTTCCACCCACCGTGCGGCGTGCTGTCTCAAGCAACAGGAAGACCACACATCCAAAAACAACGGGATTTTTATTTATTCCCCTTCTTCGTTTATTCGTTTTTTTTTTTTTTTTGATGTTTCTTTGCTTTTCCAATAAGCGGGCGGGGGGTGGATACAAATAAGGCAGCCCCTCTCAAAAGAGAAAGAAATGAGAGGAACGCATGGCAGATGTAATCGCCCACACACACATGCTCCCCACACATCCCCTCTTCAAAGTGATCCCGCCGTCCAGCACGTCTGTTGTGTACGCATGCATGTGTGCGCCGGCAGAGCAGTCAAAAAAGAAAAAGACTGGCAGACGCAAAATATATATTTATATATATATATTCCTTCACACACACACACACACACATAGCGGTGGGGTTTCTAACTCGCGGCCGTGTCTGCATACTTTCCAGTAGGCACATCCAAGCCGAGGCGCAGGAAGAAAAGAAAGAGAATTAAAAAAAGAGGGAAAGAAAGAAAGAGAAAAGAGAGGGGCGAATGCCCCACCCACACCTCCCTCTCTCTTTCTCACCTCTTCTCTCTCTCTATCTCTCTCCATTTCGTACTCGCAGACACTTTCGCGACACACAAATGCAAACAGTAAACTCGCGCCCACCGAAAAAGGGGGAGACACAAGTGCACACAAGATGCATGTATATTGCGTAAAGGCTGTATGTATTTACTTTTGCATATGTTTATGTGCCGTCTTCTTTCCCCCATTCGCCCCGCTCCAAAGTGCAACGCCACAAAAAGACAGCCATCGCCAACAGACCGACGCGAATAGAGAGAGGTGGTAAGAGAGGGAGGTAGAAAGGGATTGAGAGAGAGAAGGAGGGGAATAAGAAAGCAAAAACAATTTAAAGAAAAAAAAAAGGGAGAGGGAGAAAGAGGGGGAAGGTAGATGGACTCAACCGGAATATAATTCACATACCAATACGATGCACGTAATCCTCAATGTTAGTTGGCATGTCAAAGTTAATGACCACATCCAAATTCTTGATATCCAACCCACGTGCGGCAACATCTGTCGCCACAAGAACGGAACGGTCGTCGCGACGAAAGCGGTCAAGCACATAGTCACGTTGCGACTGTTCCTTGTCACCATGAATAGCCATCACCGCTCCTCCAAGTATGCGTCGTAGTGAACCATGCAGAGAGTCAGCTGTGCGCTTTGTCTTCACAAAAATGAGCACACGCTGACGGCCGAGTTTTTGAAGAATTTCCTCTAGTCTTCGCTGCTTGTCGTACTCTTCTACCACTATCACGTGTTGACAGACGTCATTGTTGGCCACCAGGTCCTCGGAGCCGACGTGCACGCGGATGAAATCCCGCTGGAAACTCGCTGCCAAGTTGCGAATCTCCTGTGGCCACGTTGCAGAGAACATGAGAGTCTGTCGGTCAGAGCGTATCTGCGAGCAAATCTTTCGAATCTGAATCTCGAACCCCATGTCTAGCATGCGGTCGGCCTCATCTAGTACCAGGTACGTCACGCGCAGCAGATTCGTGGCTCGCATCTCCAACAGATCAATAAGACGACCCGGCGTAGCGATGGCTACATGTACTCCAGCTCGTAGTGTGCGTATCTGCGGACCTTTTGGTGCTCCACCGTACAGGCATGTTGTCGCAATGGTCGGAATGCGTCGTAGCACTTTGCGTGTCTCCTCTTCAATCTGCACGGCAAGTTCTCGTGTCGGGGCGAGCACCAGCGCGATGGGACCGTCTCCTGGACGCACAGGAGGCTGTGCCATAATATGCAGTGCGGCTGGCACCATGAACGCCATCGTCTTGCCGGAGCCGGTCTTGGCGACACCAACAAGATCGCGGGAGTTCAACAGGATTGGCCACGCGATGGACTGAATGGGAGTGGGCTCCTTGTAGCCGAGATCGATGAAGGATTGGTGAATGGAATCTGGCGCCACGAGATCGGAGAAGAGCAGCATTGGCTGCGGCACACGATCGCCGTAAATGGTGATGCGGTTTTCGCGAAGCCACTGTGCAACCTCCGCGTCGCTGCGCTGCTGCTGGGGTTTGTAGTAATTCCACTGCGACGCCACCACCTGCACCTCGTTCCAGTTGACATCATGGAGGTTTGCACCGAGCGCCCCCATGCGGTCACCGGTGGGGTATGCTTCACCGTATGACATCCGCTGCACCCTCCCCCCACTTCTTCTTCCCTTTCCTCTTTCACAGCCACGCTGTTGTTATGTTTCCTCTTAAAAACAGGAAAAAAAGGGGGAAAAAAAACGTGTATGTTTGGGAATGAAGAATAGGCGTTTGTTTCCCATCGTCCATTCATCAAGCACAAAAAAGGGGGAAAGGAAATCAACAATGCAAGCGCACAGCAGAAAGACAAACAGACACACACAGAGAAAGAGAGAAAAAAATAATAATAATAATAATAATAAAAGAAGGCAAAAAAAAAAAACACGCAAACACTTTTATTCAGACGAATTTATGGCAAAAAATGCCATGCAATTGTCCACACTCCAAATAATATAAGCCGCTTCCCTTCCTCCCGCTCCCACATGCGTAAACTCGACGTACTCTCTCTCTCTCTCCCTCTATATATATATATATATATCTTCTCGGATCCAAAAGAGCCCCTCGGCACTTATTACAACGTTCTTCTTTATTAATTTATTTTGTTGTTGTTGTTGTTGTTCTCATTCTGTTCTTCGGGCGCTTCTCACTCCTCGCCCATCTTCCTCTCCTACAGATGATGTTATCCTCCTGTTCATGCAATTCCTTCTTCTTTTTTTCCTTTCTCTCCTCTTTTTTCCTTTTTAAGGTATGCTCTTTATTACATTTCAAAACGGATTCCTATTTCCCTCCCTCTCTCCCTCGTCCCTTTCCTTTTCCTTTTCTATTTCTTCTTGTTTTCGGCTATATTTTTTTTTGTTGTTTGTTTGTTTGCGTGCTCTCTTTATCCATTGCTTGTTTCATTACTTTGCATACATGTGCATATGAATATCTCTGTCTGTCTGTCTGTGTGTATTTGTGTGCGCTGTCGTTCTCCTACTATTCCTCCCTTTTCCCCAGCGAAGTAGAAACATTTTTGAAAAAGCGAGAGGGGGATGAATGTGTATTGGGGGCGTCAGGAGGAGGGGAGAATATTTCAATCGTCGTAGATCACATTAATTCCCTGCTGGTCCGCCGGCAGCCCGTCAATGCCGCTGAAGAAGTTGTAACCGGGCGCAGATGTCGGCATGAAGCGCAGCACCTTGTCGTCGGCTTCGCCCGCCGCCTCCACGAACGACAACCCGCAAGAAGGAGCCGCAAGAGCCGGTGCGTTGGACGCAGCGGAACTGGAATTGAAGCAGGAAGCACGTCCCAGCAGTGCCCATGAGGCGGACTGCGGCGTAAGCCCAAAGAGACCACCGAAGAGAGCGACATTTGGGAGCGGCTGATCCGTGCGGATCGGTTCATAGTGGCGGGGCGGAATCTGTTGGACCTGCTGCGCCACGCGGCTGATTCCAACGACAGGTTGCGGTGGTGGCGGCGGTGGTATTTGTCGCTGTGGTGATTCCTGCACCAGGGGCTGTTGCTTCGCCGGTGAGGTGCTGCTAGAGTCCTTGTTACGTGTGCTCACAGCCCTCGGCGTTGAATTGCCCCCAACAGCCTGTGGGCGTCGGTTGGAGACCATACTGCTGTTGCTATTGACGCTGTGGTAGTTGCCGCTGTGAGAGAGAGTTGTAGTCGGCTCTTCCAGCGTCTCCGAGAGCTTCGACGGATTTCCACCGCTGGCTAAAACATTATTATTGTTACCCCCACCGCCTCCTGCGGCAGATAAGGCGGCAGCAGCAGCAGCCGTCGTAGCAGCCGTCGTGGGAATTGTTGTTGCCGCCGCTTTCACGGACGCAACTGCATTTGTTGTTGCAGTATTGGTCGAATTAGCAGCAGTCACAACTGCTGCCGCCGTGCCTAATGTGGCAGTATGACTAGGTGTACTGTTGGTGGTTGCAGTATTGGTGGTGGCATTATGATTAGTAGTATTATTACTATTAGTATTATTATTGGCAGCGGCGGTTGCCTGACCTGCGGCAGCGGTCGTAGCAGCGGGTGTAATTTTCGCCACAGGTCGGCTGCCGAATTTTGCGACAGCCAACTCTAACATCTCTTGGCGCTTCTTATTGCTCTTAGGGTAGCTGCGGAGGGCATGGATGAATACCGCCTGCAGTGTGTGTTGGTCTTCACGGTTGACGAGCTGTCCACCGGAGCTGAGGGCCGCGTTCATGAGGTCCACCATGTCGTTCCTCAACTCTTCAGCGACGTCCTCTTTCTTCTCACTACTTCCCTTTTTGCCTGCCGTTTTCCCCTGAGCACCGGTGTTCGTGGTGTTGGTTGTGGTGGCGGCAGTGGGCAAATTGCCGCTTGTGAGGTATTCATGGGCACCGAGTAGATAGCCGTCCACGGGCTTCTTAAGTGTCTTGAGAAGCTGCATGAACACCTTTGGGTCCGCCGCCCTCAGTGCCGCGTATGCTAACAGTTGACCCACGCGTGTGGCACGACCAATTGGAGGGTGCCGCATCATATGCAAAGCGCACTGCACCGTGTCTACAATGTGCGGGTTCTCTATGTGGAAGGTAAGCTGTTCCTTGTCTTCCGCGTCGTCAATCTTAACCGCGATGGGGCGACTCTCGTTTAGTACATGCGTTACAGCATCAAACTGGGACTGTGATGGGTGTGTGAAACCCCATCGACAGCGAGGCCCCTCGCACGGCTTGTCCCTCTTGAAGTTGATCTTCCCCTTGATAAAGCTGCAGCACCAATTGTCTGGGTAGCCGTTGAGGGGGCAGCTGGCGCCGCCAATACACGTCCTGCGCAGCTGATGCTCGCAGGGGTGTCCAAAACTAAATAACTGCAGTGACATGCCAAACTGTAATATATTTATATATTTTTATATATTAAAAACAAATAAAAAATCACGGCTATTCAACAAACTCTTCTCTCGGCCTGTTTGTTCGTGTTCTTGTTGTTGTTGCTCTCTGCGGGGCCCTCGAGTAAAGGGACCGCGGCAGACTGTGCAATATGTTGTGTGCCAACTGCGATGGGATGCGAAGAGAAGGAGAAAAGAATGCAGAGAAAAAAAAAAAAAGAAGAAAAAACCCAAAGAAACGGTGGTGGCTCATGAAGAATAGGAACCGGAGCAACCCACAAAAAGAGAGAAGGGAAAAAAAAAAGACAAGGACGACACGTGCGTGCTGTAATCCATGCGGGCTTCTAATTGCCCGCCTGTCCCCTTTTAAAAATCATGGCACCTCCCGTTGCTTTCCCAATCACCGTACCGCGTGGGGTTAAGTTGTGTGCTGCCGATTGGCGTGCCTGTTGTCTCATCGACGATGTCCGACGGTTTTGCGCCCGACGCCTTGTTGAACAGGGACTCGGCACTCCCCACCGATGTTGTAAAGCGCTGAATTTCCTCGTCGGAGAGCGGTTTTGGCTTCAGTACGGGGTCCTCCTTCCCTAACAGTGCAAGACGGTGCTCCAGATATTTCTTGTCATTCACAACAGACATGAATATGTCGCTTTCGACACCAATCCACAGCGCCAGACCGCGCCGCAACATCCCTCCTACTCAAACAGTCTGTGGATGTGTATTCGGTGTCCACGTGTACTTGGATGTATACACAAAAACTATTTTATGTGCGTATGAGAGACTCGGGACGCATGTGGGGGATGGAAGAAGACACGGAAAAAAAAAAAAACTCCACACACATAAATACAAGCAATGAGAGAAAGGATTATGAGAAAATGCAGCATAACTTGCAAGCAAACGTTGCATCAACAATACCCATCATTTTTTGACAGGCAAAAAATGTCAAAAATTTACTCCCCACACCAGAGAAAGATGATGCAGTGTCTTTCATTTCCTCATCTCATGCCCAGACTGTCACCCAACCATCTGCCACTCACAGCATCTGCGACAGTGGACCGCCTTGACGAAGAGCATGCGGCACAAGCATCGCTGCAACAAGTTTGCCATCGTTAAGACCGGCCAGCAGCACAGATGGGGCAAAAACCATGCAAGAAACACCAGAGTGCGACTTCAGCACTGGCGCTATCTGCAGGCGAGAGGCTTTGTAAAGCACGTTCTCCCCCGTGACATATGTAGCCATTGTGGACTCACATGACGCTTCCTCCAGACATGAGGACTTTGCCTCAAGAATGGTGTGAAATCGCAGTAGCAGCGCATGCCCATCCTGCGTACCGATGGCAAGAACGTCGTCGTAGTGACTCACAGCAACACAGGAGACAGCAATGCACGGGGAGACGGGCGGTGCGTTCCCGAGAATGTACAGGTGTGACTTCCATATATCAAACAACAAAACGCGGCCGTCGACTGCGACACACAAGACGAGGTCAAGGCCCGTCATATATACAGCATGCTCCGGCACAAACGGCAGCTCACGGCGTACCAACACTGCACCTCCATTAACCACAAGATCCACCAAAAGGATTACACCAACGACGTTTTGATCGCGATCGCCCGCCCGACTGTTGTAAAAAATTCCACCACCTCCCCGTCTTCCCCTCGGCGCCGTCGCTGCTGAGCTCTCCTCCTTGGCGTAGTCAAAGCCAGCCACAATAAGTAGCGAGTGCTGATTTTCAAAGAAGAGCGTCACTTTCACCCCGCCGGGCGGAAGGAGACGGTGCGAAAAAAGTGGATCGTTCGACGAGTTGCCGAGGTTAAAACGCCATCCAGAGACACTTCCGTCTGCCAGGCCTGCCGCGAACACGTACCCAGTGGACGAGTAGGCGATATCTGTCACCACGTGACTTCCATGGCAGAGGAAAGTCGCCACGCACTCGTTGGAGGTGAAGGAGTACAAATCCACACACCCATCACAGTGGCGAGTAAGAAAAAAGGGAAGATGTGGGTGGGACACGACCATCGCGTGGGAGGCAAATGAAAAACGGGGCCGCTGCGACAATGCCTTCGGGTCCCGCTGGGTCGCGCCCACAGCCGTCCCATTGCCCTGTTCTCTGCCCAACCCCGCCGACAGGGTCGCTGTCACAAAGTTTCGATCCGGCTGCTCCCGCAGAAACGCGGCCTCGTTGTCCCCCGCCAATATCTCGCGGTAGCCGTGAGTTACTTCCGCACCGGCGTCGGTGCCCCACACAAGGCTCTCGCAACTGGAACGATCGTAGTCGACAGAGCATATTGCACGATGGGATTGATAGAGCACTAACCGGTCTGTTGTTGTGATCTGCTCCAAACCACCGCAGAGGGCCGCCTCCAGCATCATCTCACAAAAGCCCGCATGTGTGTGGACGCGCCGCAGCCAAGTCACCTCCATTTGCCGAAGCGTCGCCACTGCGCCATCACTCAACTGCCCGTAAAGAAGATGTGCTGTGGTGTGTGGTTGTGTCGCATCCCGCAGCAACAGCACAACTTGATCGGTATCGGTGGATATCGCTGCGTTTATGCTAGGAAACTGCCAAAAAAACTCTGCATGGGCCACGCAAAGGTCCAGCAAGACTGTCTGCACTGGATGCTGCGTTGCCGCATCCTCTATGTTGAAAAGAAGGTTGCTTTCCAGCAACTCCGCCACCCGTCGCAGCTCCTGCTCCTCCTCAATGAAAATACCGTTGGGGTTCGTGAGAAGACTGTCGTCTAGTTGCCGCACGGCCACCACGTGGCCAACCACTTGTGAGGCGGCCGTGTTGAACGCCAATGTGACGCGGCACAGCATACAGCCAAGCAACCACAGCATGATTTTTGCGTACTGCGGTGGATGCGAGAGGTCCGCAAAGACGCCCCGTATGTAACCAACCTCCTCCCGCAGCTCGCTCAGCGCACACAGATGCAGGAATGCGGCACTCCAGAGGATCAGCAACGAGCGGAGTTTCTCCTCATACATTGTAGCCCATAACAACGGGCCGCCATCTTTTCCGGTGTTTAACAATTCATGAAAGGGTGAAAAGGCCCCAACCTCTCCCGTCTCGTCTTCTTTCAGTTGCTCCTTAGTCATTGCCCGTACGCGCCTCAGGACGCCTTGCAGTCCGCGCACATATGACAGGACAGAATCCAACGTTGCCGTCTCCGAATTCTGCTCACGAAGGACCTTCACCACCGTTGGGAACTCCAGCAATGCGTTCGCCAGCGCGTAGTCCGTATTCTGAATTGCTATTGACAACAGCACCAGGCGTACGGCGACAATTACAAGACGCGATACAACACCCTGCATGGTTAATGGCAAAGGTTCATCGGACAGTGGATCAGCACGAGAGTTCTGCAACAATAAGAGTGATTTCAAGAAAAATGCCAAACGATTCTCCACACGAGCAATGGGCATATGCCTGCCAATATCCGCCACCATGCGAGCTGTACAAACGAGAAATGCATGCACAGTACCCCTGCCGCCGTCTTGATCTTCTGTCAAGCCATCAGCTGGAATTGTGTCATGAAGCCGGCTCTGGGCCCACTCCAGCTCCCTTTCCAGTGCCACCGCTGAGATAACATCAATCTGACTCGCATCTTCTTCTTCCTCGTGATAAACCATTCCTGAAGTTGCAACTGCTGTAGACGCCACTTGTGCGTCAAGTGCATCTTTCTCGAAGCCATGAATGTTATTACTATCGTTCCCATGCTCTCCTCCATCAGCATCCTCATCATCCAGACCAAAGCCGTGAAACGTCAATGTGCCAGTGTTAAAATCAGCTTTGGTACGTGTAGCAAAGGTTATTCTCGCCGCCACTGCCTTGTGCTCCTCTGCCTTTGCACCTCGCACCTGTGCGAGCAGCGCCTCCGCTTCGCGACAGCTCATCATTGCTGGCAGTTGCATTCCTTTGGCGTGTGAGAGGCGAGTCATATGCATAAGCAAAAGCAGCTCTCGCAAAGGAGTTAGTCCTTCCCCACGCACGCGCCGTCGCTCATTCCGCAAGAAGCTCACAATTTCGGCAGCCTCAACGGCGCACAGCGGTACATGACGTGAAAGCAACCCACGGGCCTCTCGGGTCAGTCCGCAGTGCCAGAGCAGGCACGCCTCTTCCCAGACGTTCATCGGTCCATATTCTGCCTCCTCACGGACTCGCTGCTCAACAAACCAAAGCAAATCATCCCGATTGTCATTACTGGCCAAGCGCAAAACCAACAGGGCAAGTGCAATGCTGCCGTGACGCTGCAGAAGAACTTGAGTGGCATTTCGGAACTCCCCTGCAAGGACAAAAAAGGCCGCGCCATATGCTACCATATTCTTGCTCACAGCTGCAAACCCATTACCGGCAGCGGCTGTCTTATTCTTTGATTTCATTGAAATTTCGCAAAAAAAAAGCGTGCAGTTTCGCGTTCGCTCCGCCTTACACAGGGCCGCAAGAACACCAACTTTCCCAGCAGGAATGTACATGAGAGCACATTCTCTTACATCCCTTGTTGCCTGGTACTGTCCGCGTGCCACCCGCTCCGCCAGTGTCCGCAGCCCCTGCAGCGACCTTAACCAGAATGGCACCCCGGCAGCCTCCACATCGGTCCACGACACAGCACCCTTCCCATCATTCCCGTTCAGGAGGTCATGCAGCAACCGTGGCTGTGCGTCGGAGAGCGCCGCCCACAGGAATGCAGTGTGCGTATGGGGAATGATGTTTTTGAAAGTCTCACGCACGCCCAGACGTCGCCAAAGTTGGCGTAGTTTGTGCAAGAAAAAAAACTTTGAGGCTGCCACGTCCATGCCAATAGTAAACAAACACACCGCTCGTATGGCATCCACAACGCAGACAAGACCTAACTGTTCTTGGCTGCTAAGGCCCCGAAGCTGCGCCAAGGAAAGCTGCTCCATGACCTTCTCGAGCATTTCCGGGGTGAATCCATTATCTGGCACACGAGAGCCATCACTCTTTTCATCCATTTCCAGGAGACGCTCTATCTGCAAG